TAAAGTTAACACTGGCTCTAAGTTACTTGAGGGGAGAACACAAGAGGAAAAGCCGACGCGCGTGATAGTACTTCTCTCTGCACCAAAATGGCCGAAAACATCCACCCAATATTAATATGCGCATTTCATTCGTAATTCGTCCGCCTTCTCCTCGACCGCCGTCGCGTGGCTAAATGCCGATTTCAATTTACTCTTGTCTGCGACCACGTTTAATTGGGTTACCGACGTTCGCGGTAGGTAGTACTTAAGGATAGCAGCAACAACAACAGCGACAATGGGCGGTTAGCTGGAAACTGCCACCCGCGTGGCAACATTTGCTATGGGAATTATTGCCGTGCTGTGCTGGAGTTCGTGGCGACAGTGATTACTTTATGCCAGGGAATCTCGTTCAAGATTTTAACCATCACATTATCTATATCCAGCTTAGTTACCGTTCTCGAAACGAGAACGATATTCAACCTCCTGATACGACTGGGATTAGGAAATTGTTGATTCCATGGGATGGAGAACACCCCTGCACAAAAAGAATGGCTGCTACAGTTACGTTTCTGAACCAGGAAGCGATCCGCTTACTGTACTCTTGGAAGATTTGGGAGGAATGAGGTGCGGATATCAGTGCAAGCTATTTCTCTTACTTTGATTGGAATGGGAAGTTTTCTGAGTTTATATCCGAGCATTAAAAGATAAAACCATTATGTCGTGCTGGGGATGCTTTGCGCTGAGTTATTCATCTTCTACCGATCATTATTGCGATACTCATAATGGCGGCATCTTAGAATACTCATATTTATCGTGCAAACTAACCACTAATTACTCGTCTGAGTTCTCCGAATTACAATTGACAAACAACTTGAATAGAACTAGAACCATCATCAAAACCATGGTGCATGGTGCCATCCACCCCCTATCTCCCAACCCGTGGCTAACGTGCGCAAACCCCTAAGCAGAACAGAATATTAAACATGTGAGACACTCAGTTGTCCAAGCCCCCTTTAGCATCCTCCTTCTCGGTCGCATTCCCATCCCCACTCCCACTCCTCTTCCCCATCTTCCCCTTCTTCTTTTTTGACTTCTTCTTAGCCTTGCTAGGATTTTCGTGCATGCGACTCTCATCGAACTCCTTCTTTTCCGCCTCGAGCTCCTTTACTAACTCGTCGACATCGATATTGGGGTCCCGATCTTCAGCACCCACAAATTCCCCGTCCTCGCTATAGTCGGAAAGCTTGATGTAGTCCCCCAGTTCCTTCGCGTCGAGCATGAAGAGAATCTCCGTTCGTCTATCTGGGTTGTCCCAGATAACCTGCACATCCTTTTTTGATGAATATCCTCGCTTTGTTGTCCCAGCCTTTTCCAACTTCATAGGATCCTCCTGTAGTTTGGACATCCACTTGAAATTCGGCCCCTCCGTCCCTTCAATCTTAAGGAAAATGGACTTGGCCTTTCCCAGGAACTCCATCGCCCTGCCAATATCCGAATGCCAGGCGCAAATCATTGCACAGTGCTTCCAGATCTGGCCAAGAGGATCAGAGGTAAAACCCGACTTGATGTGGACGTCTATGATCGTGTGGGCCATCTGGAGGGTGCCAGCTGGCTCAGTGGCGACAGCTTTTTCCATAAGCATGATAGGGACCTTCAAAGAAAGCAACTCGATACCTGCCTCAACAGCAGGATCCCGGTTCTCACATAGCTCGCAGGCACATTCGAACCCGAAATTCTCAAGCGTGTATTCCTGGCGATTTGCAATGTTCGCGTATATGAATTCATATGCGACTGTAATTTCTTCGTCGACCTCGATGTCCCGGCAAGCATGCAACAGGATGATGTAGCTTTCCCCTACGGGCGTGTTGACTGTAAGAAGAGTATGCTGCGCATTCGGACGGCAAGAATGGTTCAGGAAGGCCGAACGCAAGCCAAGGGCACGAGCATTTCCTGCTTGAAGCGGTACGCTGATAGCGCCTCTGTCGAAAACAGAACCAAGTATTCCGTATTTCTCCTTGGATCCCTTGGGCAGTTCGAAGAATTTCCGCTTGAACTCGGTGTCTTTGACTTCCTTCATGCTGGTATGAAGGATCTTATTGTACAAATCGACAGCGCCCTTCGCGTCCTCCAGGGTTTTCGTGGTGACCATGACCTCTTCGCTGTAAATGCATTGCCCTTCCCCATATCTTTGTTTCGCAACAAGCCCCAACCCCCTTTTTGGAAAACTTTTGACAACGTAGGGCAGCGGGCCGGTTGATGTCACCGGGGGCCCAAACTGAGTCGCTGAGTCCATTGTTTTTTCGAGACGCGTCTCCTGTATCGAGGACTTGGGTTAGAAGGGCGAGGCAATGTAAACAAACGCCTGTGGATTCTTTCACCTCCCTAGGGATCAACTCACCCAAGGCTACTGATGCTCTTGATATGCAAAGCTGCGGAGAGCTAGTCCGACCGGATGTACCAGCCAAGGCCACAGTTTGTAGTAGAGTGTCAGAACAGAAAAGGAAGCACAGAACAAGGAAAATGAAAGAGTAAGAAGCAGAGCACGAACAAAAGGGTCAATTGGGGTTGGGTTATGGTTATATTGGCGTGCCATATCCAGCATCACTCATATCAACCATCTGTGAATAAGGTCAATTCTTAGGCTATCTGACAAGAACAAGCTTGAAGAGGGACAGAGTCAAGGGGACTGTTTGCAATAGTTTCTGATATCTAATGCCAGTGTATGAAAGAGTAACAAGGATGTTGATAGAGGACTTGGGATACTTCTGACAGTGATGCCAATCACACAAGACACATGTTTGCAGGCAACAATGGCTGTGTATCATCCCTCCTTCCTTTGTATGAGATAGAATGAAAACAAGCAGACAAGGAAAGAATCAAAAAGACTCCTTTTTCATTTTTGCCTTATCCATCCTGCCTTCCCTTTGCCACAAAGAGCAAAGGGAACGGGAAAGGACAACAAAAAGATAGAAAATCAAGTATATACGAGAAGGCTTGAGATATCAACGCAACAAGGTCGAGATAAACAGCTACTATATACCGTACCGTGGAGGCCTTGACGGGAGCCAATTTTAAACGTGGAAGGCCTGCAGTGTTGCTCCAAGCCCGTTTGCTTTTTTTTTGACCAGGAACTGAGCACCTGTTGAATCATTTTGGCCGTCACAAAAGCGGTTCTTCCACATAAGCTGTAGACTCAGCAATTGGACAGTTGACTCAGATCCGTCAGCAGCAGCAACAGGTGGTGGAGGAGAAGGTCTCATTTCCCTCTGGGCAAATAGTATTGATGCTGACATTTAATACGCCATATTCGCACGGGATAGGCGCGCGCTTAGCTGAATTGGCGCCCAGTTATGACTATGGGGGCTCGTACAATCACCTTTTGTTGAAAAAAAAAAAAAAAAACTAGGGATGAGAGAGAAAAAGCTTCATACATTCAAATATCCCACGAGGCAAATTTTTGGTAGGAAAGGCCGTCTTTTTGTCCTTTTTTGAATAATTCGTCTTATTCACGCCCGTATCTAATTACGAACTTAACTACTAGTAACTAGTTACCTCAGCCTCACGCAAAAAAGGGTGCCCAAAACATCCATTACACCATCAACCACTCTGAAGCACAAAACACCTTTATGAACAAACTTTTCGCTTAATGACGCTTGTTAAAACCTCGCTGTATTGATTCCAGAGCCTTTTTTTATTCCGTCCCACCAGGTATCGCTCTTCCGGATCGGAACCTGTAACTGACGGTTATCACGTCCGGTTATTCCCCGCCATCCCGCAGCCCTTACCCACATACATACTAGACATCATCATGGCACCCAGAGCACCCCTACTATATCACATATGGTTCCATTACATCGAGCCATTCTGTGCCCTAAACGGCGCCTATCTCGCCTACTTCCGCCCAGCAGCCTACCTCCAAATGACGCTGGCCCCATCCTTCGATAGCACGTCGGAAGTGTCTCCCGCCACCGCATATGTCATGCAGCAATTCGCCGCCGTTCTCGTGTTTTTCGGGCTGGTAGAGGGATTGATGATGCGGATGACGAACGACTTGAAGGTCCAAAAGGTTCTCATGCTCTGCATGTTTGCCGGCGACTTTTTCTATCTTACTGCTCTGCATGGGCAGGGCGGGAGCGAGTGGTATTATGCACAGCCGTGGCTTTGGGATGGGACTGCTTGGGGGGTTTTTGGGTCGTCGTGGATTAGTCTGATCTTGCGGTGTGGGTTTTTGGCTGGGGTTGGACTTTAGGGGGTTGGATATATATATTCGACTGATCTGCTTGCCGTGTGGTGGATGGGCTTTTTGGAGGGGACGGAAAAGCTCCAAGGATCTGTCGCATATTGCTCAATGACAGCTCGACTAGCATTGATGTGGAATTTTTGCCGGTGATAATAGCTATCTGTTTCTTTAGTTGGATATTGGGTTGTTTATTCCCAAGGTTGTCAAGTTGTCTGGCTCTCCTTGTTACATCGGATTTCACCATTTGAAATGGATCACTGCTTCCATATTCAAGACTAGACCACTGGTTTTTACCAGCCATCGCACCCCAAATATGCATGTTGTTCGCTATGTCGAGAGCAGGATTTGCCTGATACGGCAACAAATGATACCTCGGGGACCCAATTAACAGAGTGGGTATTTGGTTGAGGCATTTCTATCCTCATTTTATCCCATCTTCCTAAGACCAACTATCTAGAATGACAGCAGTAAGAAATCCCAAGAAGACGCTCTCAAAGACACCTTACTATCCACCTGCGGAAATCGAACCCCTTCCCGGACCACCATTATCTATTTCCTTCATTATACCTAGCGCGAGCTCAACCGCCTGAGCCAGATATATGCCCGTCTGGTCTTCGAACCACTGACGCACGAATAGACTACTCATTTCCATAAGTCATGTCCAGGCATATTATTAAGAATTTTTTTCCATCTCTGAACTGTGGACGGAAAAAAATATACCTTTACAATTCACTTCGTGAGTTGTATCAGAAGGCTATAAAAACAAAAAAAGATATTCGAATGCATCATCCGTGAATCGAACACGGGCCTCATCGAGTCGGAATCCGATTTGGAATCGAATGGCAACGATGAATTCTACCACTAGACCAATGATGCTGGTTGTTGATGTGGATTCGACCAGCGAAGTATATTTTAGCGGTTGCTAATTTACGTTTTGCATTAGGGCTGGGTGAAATCATGTGACATTGACTACATCGGGGACATCCTTCCGATCTATCAACCGAGAATTGGAACTATCAACCCGAAGATTCAACTCGCCCGTCATATCAGGCTACATTCCGGTGGGGGACGTAGCCAGGAGGTGTTCCACGGCGTCATTCTTTGACAATATGCGCTCACGCAGCTAACTATGTGCCGGAATGTGCCAAGTGAATGCCCCCTGTCATGGCATTCCCCCCAGCCATGTAAACAAAGCCGGGATATGAACCAGAGCTCCCCCTCAACATCTCCCCGCACTCCGAATAGTGGCTTTGAAAGTCATAAACTGACGCTGTATATTTTTGCGGTGTTTCTTCCTTCGCCTACTACTTATTAACGACGCATTGATAGCATCACAGGGAACAGCTGAGATTCCATATTGGAAGATCATGACAACCCTCCAGCATCCCAAACTCGGGGAGATACGCGGGGTGATCAAGGGCTCAACGAGGGGCTTTCACGGGATAAAATATGCCTCGTTGAAGGACCGGTTCGCCGAACCAGAACTTATCAGCGACTATGATGGGAAAATAGATGCGACAGAATACGGGTACGTTTGAGCAAGGAAAACAAACTACCTACATCAGTTCAATGTCGATCTGATGAAGGCTATAACTGGCAAGAAAGCTAACAACCATCCAGGCCGCATGTTACTTCTCCCGCCTCAGGCTGCGACAGAGAATTTGCGCTCATCCAGCAATCGCTGCCGAAGCCTGAATTCACCTTCTCGGATCTAGATGGTTTGAGCATCAACGTGACGGTCCCCAATGACAGCCAGGCATCTCCACAGGGAGGCAATGGATTTCCGGTGTTCGTCTTCATTCATGGCGGCGGCTTCGCCATCGGCTCATCCGGCTGGCCTCAATTCGATATGTCGAGATTTGTGTCGTTTTCCGGGGAAAACGGTACCCCTCTAATTGCGGTGACTATGAAGTGAGAATCTAGTTTATATGCCAATGTTTGGCCGCGGAATTTAGACGACTAACTAGACCCCCTTTCCCAGCTACCGCCTAGGCGTACCCGGCTTCCTAACCTCCCAGGAACTCCGTGATGCGGGATACAAGTCAAACAACGGTCTGCGCGATCAACGAACTGCTCTCCAATGGATCAAACAGAACATTGCAGGATTTGGCGGTGATCCCGACAACGTAACTGTTGCAGGCGAGAGTGCTGGCGCCGGTGAGACAAAATTACACCCCCTCCACCACAATTTTTCCTGATCTTTAATACTAACAATTCTACCAACCGACAGCGAGCGCCTGGTACCACCTCCATTCCAAGCAGCCCCTATTCAAACGCCTCATCCTCCTCAGCGGCAGCGGCCTTCTTAGCCCCCCACTCGCCCCTCCCGTGATAGAATTCGCGTATAGTTCTGTCACCAAGGCGTTGGGGCTCGATGGGCTTTCCCCCGAGGAGCGCGTCAAGGCCATCGTTAACCTACCAGCGGACGAATTGCTGGCTAAAACCCCACGAGTCCCGCTTTTGCCTGCGCTGGATGGCGATGTAATCCCGGTCGAAACGTCGTTTGATAAGGTCTCGAAACTGGCCGAATCTACAGCTGAGTTTCCGGGGATAGAGTGGTGTGAGGATTTACTTGTTGGTGCTTGTCAGTTTGATGTAAGTCTGATATCCAAACCCTCGCGCAAAATCATCAATCAATTAATCAATCAATTCAAAAAAAAAAAAAAAAAAAAAAAAAACTAACTAACCCCCTCCCCCCCATAAAGGGCTCCGTAATGTCCGTCCTCATCCCCAATGCCGCCACCAGCACCCCCTCAACCCTCTACGACCGCTTCACAAAAGCAACAACCACCACCCTCCCCGCCTCCGCCTCAACCACCACCACCTCCCTCCTAACCACCTACAACCCATCCGCGACCAAACACCCCCTCCTCCACTTCGCGACCGACCTCCTCTTCCACGCACCCGTCCACTTCATCGCCACCGCCTGGCCGCGCCCCACCCGCTCCTTCGCATACTTCTTCAACGAGCCGAATCCATGGGACGGCCCGTTTAAGGGCTACGCGACGCACGTGTTGGATGTGGCGTTTCTGTTTTTGAATTTTGAGGCGTGTTTTGGGGAGGGGGATGATGCGGAGAGGGAAGCGGAGAGGCGGAAGGCTGTGGGGAGGGGGTTTGCGGGGGATTTGGGCGGGTTTTGTTATGGGAGGGGGGTTGGGGGTTGTTGGGAGGAAGGGAAGGTGAGGGTTTATGGGGGCTTTGGGGAAGGTGGGGTGGTGAGGGATGTTGGGAAGGGGGAGGTTGGGAGGGGGGTTTTTGAGTTTGGGGAGGCGGTTGGGTTTGATGTGCTGATGAAGGTTTGGGGGGGGATAATGAGGGGGGATTGATTAGGTAGGTCGGGTGGGGATGAGGGGGGGGGGAGGGGAGTAGTTGAAGGGGAATTGGTGGGCTGGTGGATCATCTTGATGTATCTATCCATAGGGGTGGTTGTGTTTAGGTGGGAGAATCGCCGTTCGATTGCTTACTACACAGAAGTAATTCTCCAATTCCACGCATTGGAGACTTTTATGATGTATTCTAAAAATTGGTGCGGACAAGAAAGCTGTTAACTAAACTAGTTGGTATATCGACGGATGGATCGGCCCATCAAATCGATCAGTAGTTATGGAGTGGGGTGGTCGAGGAGATGTATGCAGTTGGCGGTGGAGGAATAGGATGGACGCATCTACTATGGCATATGTACATACATAGGACGAAGATAAGTAGAAGCTGGGACGGCTGAGTGGCACTTAATATGAAGAACAAATACATAAATATCACACATTTAAAAAACAACCTCCCAACTTCAGAAAAGTCGAGTACATCATTCATCATTATCATCTACCTATGCCTATGCCTAAGCCGTCAAAAGAAGAGGTAGGGGGTGTCATTTTCATGCCGCATCGGGTACATAGATATACAAGTATGCCGGGTTCCATTTCCATCATTCATTCTTCCTTCCAATGTATGGAGGTTATGTATCCATCCCATGCGAGCGCCGTCGATAACAGAGACTAGATGCGGGGAAGAGTAAAACGAATCCGAAGGGAAAGAGACAGAGGTGATGCCGTTTTCTGTGGGAAAATGAAAATGAGAGAGAAACAAAGACTCTAACATAAAAACAACAAAAAATGGTACAGGGAAAAATGCATACAGCCAACCAAACCCTTCATCCACATGGGAGGGGAAAAAAACAAAACCGAACTCCATAGAATCAAAACATGTCAAAAAAAAAAAAAAAAAAGGAAAATATCAAAAACACCAACCCCATGACCCCCCGCTAATAAAAAGTTCATCACCGATCTGTACTTTCCAGAATCATCTCAACATCCTTAATCGGATGCAACAACATGGGCGGCAAACACATCCTCCCCTCAGTCGCAAGCTCATACTCCTCCCCACCACCCCCATCAACTCTATACCCGAGCCACCGACGCCAGAGATTTATCGAGTGGCCCGCAGAATAATACCACGTGGTGCCTCTAAAGTTATGCTCTCTTTCGCCAAAGACGGACGTCCTAGCGCCCCCAGTTGCTCCATTACGACCAGCATTAAATACCGATTCGAGATAGGTAGGTGGCCAACGGCGATCAACGTACATGGAGTGCGGGACATAGACAGCCTTGAGGCCGTGATGGAGAGCAGCGGTGGCAGGCCACATTTCCGAGAACATGGTGTGCCGCTTCAAGCTTGTTTCGCGGTGCATGGTGGCGAGGAGTTTGCGGGAGAGGCGGGATGCTGTGATAATGGCTGCGCGGCGGGGTGGCATGCCGTCTTCCTTGTTGTAACCCGTTACATCATCGCGGAGGAGCCAGGTGGTGCCTTCGGGGTCATAGAGGGGATTAAAGACGATGAGGTCAGCATCTTCGCCAACGCCCCAATCGTACTTATCCTTTTCGTATGTTGTGGGCGGGATCCCTTCGCCTTCAACTTCAAAAATGTCCTGCTCATGCGGTCGTTCGGGACCCCAAACGGGCTTCTCGCCCTGGCGTTCCTGGGTGGGACGGGTAGGTTTGTCCTTTTGAATGGGAGCCCACAGGTTGTTTGGGCTATTAGTTCCAATTTCTGTTTGGACGCGGACCATTTGGCGGAAGTCTTCCCACGATCCGTGCACGGATGGGACGTAGAATCGTGAATTTCGCTCCCACAGGCCCTTGCGCGGCTGCTGCTTCGCCCATTCCCCTACTTGGTTGAATAGGTGATACCAATGGCCCGTATTTCGAGCGTCCATTTCCCAGTTCCAGACAAAGTCATATTCGGGGTGTTGATGGGAGAAGTATTGGACGGGCATAAACGTGCTCCTGTAGACGCCATGTACAGGGAGATTTCGCGCAAAGGTTTCTTCGAGTCCGCCATACATCAGATTCATCTGCCGCTCTGACCATAAAGTACCCATTCCCCTAAATTCAGCAGGGAGGGCCTCTTTGAGAATACGATCGTGGATCTCATCATCTGCCCAAATCTGCAGATTGTCGTCCTTGACTTGGATAAGGAAATGAACAGTGTATTCCCCTCCAGATATCAAAGAAAGTTCAGAAATCAGTGCGCGGAGATACATAATCGACTCCGCATTGTATTTGTAGTCCGACCACGTTCTGATAATCACTGCTGTTCGCGGGAGCGAAGTTGTGGGCTCTGTGGCGTTGGCAGTTTCAGTTCTTTCGTCCTCCTTTTTCGGTAGAGATTTTGGCTTCTCGTCCTCCCTTGGGCGCGACGTCCCAACCTGCGACATAGCGAACCGTGGTGCCCGTGGAGGGTCGAGTTTCCGAAACCGATGGATATTTGCGGCAGCACAGCGCTCCTGTGCTTCGGCCCACTTGACGCTTCGGTAATCAACTGGCGGGACATTCTTCCACACCTCGTCTACCCCAGATCGGTCGCCTTCGAGTCCAGCTCCA